CTTCGCAGGGAGGCCGAGTGTTTTTCCGCAGATCCACCCTTAAATGCTAAATACCTCTGCTCGGCACACTCCTCTCTCCGGAGCTCAGGCGAATGGCAGCGGCAGCGATGAGTGGTTGGCATGGCAACGGGGAAGAGAAAATCCGCAACCTCCCGTATTGTCAGGCCAGCTTGTTGATTTGCCTGGGGGGGGGCGGGGGGAGCTCCGGTTTATCCGGGGGAGAGATGGCTCTATCTTCTCTGCATACATTGATATGCTGGTATATACATTAATAAATGTCATATGCATATTTTAAACGGGATGACGGCTCTCACTAGTAAATCTCAAATCTAGGATTGTTGGCAGAGGAAAATGGAAGAAAAGGCAGGTTCTCGGATTCTAAGGTTGAAGAGGGAAAACAGAAGGAAGGTTAGAGTGATGACAAACTTTCCCTCCATTGTGTATTTTCAAGCTTAAATTTACAATTTCAGCAACAATTAATTTATATGAGTACGTTCATCGCTTGGCTGCTTGAGCTACATGGATGGTGAAGTGCAGGCCAAGGCTTTGGAAGGCAGAGCTCCACCTGGAAACTTGGAAAAGAGACAACGTATAACCTGCAAGAGCTTTTCCAGATCTCACTGCTTCAGCAGGGAGTAGGCCTGGACAGAATCCCCAGAAATGCTGGGGAAACGAAGCATTCCTGGGGGTGGGGTTAACTGGAGAAACACCCTTTAATCTTTACATTAACTCAGAGAGATGTCTGACCCTGCTGAGGGCTGTGGATGGTCATGAAGGCGCTTTTACTGACTAGTGTTTCTTACTAGCGCTCAAAGCGTTACACCTTAGGATAGTCAAAATCACAAAAGCATGATTTTAATTAAATACGTCAATGTTTTGGCATCTATCAACTTCTCAAAATTGCCTCCTTTAGTTCTCCATTCATGCTGAAAACCGAGATTACATTATGATTTGCTGTCATGCTTAGAGGTACGTGGATGTGGCAGTTCTGCAACAGGGGCTGTCTTCTTTGGCTACAATTCATCACTGGGCTGTGCTGGCCTGAGTCCGGCGGCATGGGCTAGTGGAAAGAGCACCGGTCTATGCAGCAGGAGGGCTGCACTCTGGCTGTGGTCCTGTGATCTTGAATGGGGGCTAAGCCTGTAAAGAGGACTGTGAAGGCCATCTTACGGGTCCCTTCTAGTTACCTGCATGTTATTTTGATATGGATTCTAATATGAGTTTGGACCCCCACTCAGATAAGAAGCTTAAAGATGAGACTCCTAATTTTCACTCAGAGTTTGAACTCTGTGGGGATCAAAATGTGCTCCTCTTGCTTCCTTCAATAAGTTAAGGTGAAAAAGAGCAGAAGGGTTTATTAGAAGCTTTTACTCTTCCGATTCACGCTTGGGAAAACAATGTAAAATGATGGCTTTAGTCTCATTGTAACAATAACGTTCCCAAGGGGCTAGATTCCCGATGGCTTCTCACTTCCTGTTGAAAGCTTCTGTGGCATAGCTTCTAAAAAGAACACGTGAATGAATAAATGCGAGAAAAATTCTTAAAAGATCAAAACTTATGCTAGAACAGATGAGCAAATAATTCTATCTACCTTTCTATGGATTAGCTTTACAGTGTAAGGAGACAAAATCTAGAAGAGTAAGCTGCAAAGAAATATGGTTTAAAATGTTATTGCCTTCTAGCATCCCCTGCCACCCCAGTTTCAGTGCATCTGATTAAAGACAAGCTGATGATCGACTCGCATCTTTAAAAATTATTAGGGTCCAGAAACGGAGGTGAACATTGAAAACTGTGGGTGAGAGAGAATCAGGCAAGACCTTTGGTTGAAATAAGCCAACGCTGATGGAGGAAGGAAGGAGGGACATGCGATGATTGCAACTCATTTGTCATGTGATCTTGTTTATAGAGATGAATACAAATAAGCAACCTTGGGGAAAAGGTTCATTTCTATACGTGAAGAGAGGACGTTAGCAAAGAAGGAAAGTAAAAGACAGGTCTTTGGATTAAACAAGTAATGGCCTGGACACCACAACATATAGCTAAGAACCTGATGATACTGGGAAATGCTCCAAGTTAACAATGTCCTGAGAAATATCCTTTACAGCGGAGAAACGCAATACACTGATAGATTATAAGTGAATGCAAAAAGAGTGGGCCAGTATATAGCTCCCTGGTCCTCTTTAAAATAACCCAAAATATGATGCCAGCTCGTATCAGTCAGTACTTTCCATCATCAAAGGACAGCATTTTAAAAAAACATATTTAAGATTTAGGAGAACTTCTTTTTACTAGGGATGATTTATGTTTGTAATTTATGAATGTTACCTATAAACCATCAATAATAAAATTTATTATCTTATTAAGCTAAAGTTCAGAAAGAAGTTTAATTACACATTAACTTCTCATTGGAACACTCTCTGTAGGCATGAGAAGACAATATTTTACATTTTTCTTTTCCCATAGTTTTCCACACATGGATAATTTATAATTCAATACTTCGCCTGTTATTTCTGCAGGGCAGTTAGTTTAAAATCGCACCATAATTTGAATTGAACACATCACTGTGGTAATCCACAGCTGGCTATTTATAACTCAGTCACTATGAACATACATATAAAGCTTTCTTCATCAGTCTCCCAAATGTAATATAAAATTAATGTGATATATGATGAGCTGAATTCAAAATTAACTTTGGGTGCTCTTGAACCCATAATTTAAAAGAAACATCTATTAGTCTCTTTTTAGTTTATATTATTTTCTCAAGCTGGCGAGGACACACTGACCTGGCAAATAGATTTTTCAGATGCTCTTAAATAGTTAATTAGGACCATTGAAAAAAATGAAATAGTGAGTGATGTTGGTTCTCCACTGCTTGACCAAACACACTATAGTGATTTTGGGCTTGTGTTTTAAAACTCTGTAATAATCCATGAGACAAATGATGAGAGCCCAAGACACAAAGGAAGACTTTGCACTACTTTTCACCATTCATTTGAAAAGGACTTTCTTTTCTTTTTGGCATTCATTCACTCCTTCATTCATTTATTCGTTCACTCAACACACATTTATTGAGAAGTTGAGGTACAATGTCAAGTGCTACAGAATACAATGAGAAAAATCTTGATCTATCATGTTCTCTCTTTCCCCACAACCATTTTGCTCTAATGTGTCTTCATCTCCTCATGCCTCAATCCCTCCAAAATCTTCCTAGTTAATGCTTCCGACCCAAAGCCCACCCTCCACAATTTAAATTATACTTGTCTGTAGAAAAATATTCCTTGATTAAGAGTGATCTGTTATCTACATTGACACCACTACCACCACCAATAATAATAATAATAATAATAGTAATTAATACTATTTTATGAGCCATTCAGTTCGTATACTGTACTATTTCATTTCATCCTCACTGTAACCATGAAAAGTAAAAATAATATTTTTATTTCATTTTTAACCACAATTTCTTACTAACGGGACATGTGTGCCTGTTAGGCACTGCGCAGCTTCTCAAAGCCTTGAACAGGACTGGACACCGCCAGCCTCTCTTCCTGTTCCATGTGGATGTCTACGGGGAACTCGGTTTTTCTCAGAGCAACTGCTGAAAACCCAATTTCACAAGGATACGACATCTTGGAAAAGAACTGTAGTGTGAGCTGATCTTGAAACTGTACTCTCTTGAGCTCGTGCTGTGCTTGACAGATGTGGAGAACCGCTGTTTCTGTTGTGTATTTCAAGTATTCTATCTATCTATCTCAGTGCCAGGAGTGTGCCGGGGCACCTCAACACACTTCTTGCACAATTTGGGAACTTTGGCCCTAAGTAGAAACAGTCCCAGTTCAATTTTGTCTTTCCATACTGCTCATCTGGTATTTAACAAACTGAATTTTGTGTCTGAATTAACTGTATGCACAGGTCTCATGTCTGCTTCTAGATCACCTGCTCTGTGAAGCTCAGAGACCATTCCTTGTACACACCCTATTGCAGAAGCTAACACACTTTGTACCACAAAGAAAATGCTCAACAGTAATTTGTGGAATGTGTGAGTTTTTAAAAAAATTACGCTACTGGAATGCCTTTCATATTTTCCCATTAAAATGTAAACATGTTTTTTGAACAGAGTGTACAGTCAATGTGTTGCTGACTAACGGATGGAGTGTAGAAAACCAATCTTTGAGTAAGTAGGCAGTGATTTTGAAGGGGGCATAACCTTTCTTACTGCTTGTAGTTTCCTTACACTTTTTGGAATAGCATGTGTGTAAGCTACTGTGTTCAAACGCATTAAATTCTGAATCACAGAAAAAATAAAAATAATTCTGAAGAATGTTATAGTGCAAGGTATTGTTTCTCTATGCCATTCATGCTATATAATAACTATGCCATTATTACATTGTCAATAATAAAGAGGCTATTGATAGAAAATACACTTTGAAAGGAAGTATTTGAGAGTAAATGATAGTATATTTTCCTTCAAGCATCTGAATATTAGGTCTTAAAAAGCTATCTGAGGAAGTATGAAATGGTTCCTATGTGTGTGTGTGTTCATTTTCTTTCTTTTCTGTTTTTCTCTCTTTTTTATTTTTAAAGGCTAGGAGTTGGACTCTACATTCCTTTCTGCCCTCAAAAGTAAATAAGCTTCTAATGAGTCAATCGGATTTAGGTCCAATATCATTCAAGAGAATCAATAGCCAGCTATTTGTGTTTTCTTTCAATGAATTAAACAGCTGACAGTTACTGGCAAAACTCACATACACTGAGCCATTTGTCTATTAAAATTAAAGTGGTAAAACTAAATATGGAGATGAGACGGAGAACACAACCAATTTGGGGGACTGTCGGGCTCGTTCCCAGGACTGTTCTCTCTTTCTTGTGTCTGTTTCCCGACAGACTGAAGTTTTAGCCTCGGCATTCCCGAAGGAGGAGCAGCGCTGTAAATTAATTCACGTTCAGGCTCACAGGCCTCCAAGCACAGCCCGCTCCGGAGGCGGGAGGGCCCCGGTTACCTGCAGTTTCCCGGTCAGCGGCCAGCTCCCCGTTGATGCCGTTCTCCCTGGTGTCCGGGTAGGCGCCCGGGGGCCCGTGCTCTCCGAAGGGGCCCCCCTCCCGGTAGGGGAGCCCATTGGCGCTTCTGGCCAGGCCCTCGCCGGCCCCGCCCTGGTCCTTCATCTCAGGCGGGTGCGGGTGCGGGTGCGGATGCGCCGGGGCCTCCGTCAGCGGGGCTGAGGTCCAGTGCGGTGCCTTGGCCTCGTCTTTCCGATCATCTGCCATCCTTCAGCGCCCTGTCGCCTCTCCTGTGATTGGAAGAGAAAAGCTAGTAGCCATCACTTTGGGGGAATCTGATGAAGTAGTAGTACCAAGGTAGAGCAAGTTCAGAGCAAACTCAGCGGTTAGCTATGGTCAACACAAAAACCCGATTTCAGTAACCTTTGCATATCAAGAGGTAGCCCTTGGGAACACTTTAGTTCTGGTTTTTACAAATCTTTTTTGACATATCTATTCTTTTAATATAAGATCTCCATCAATCTATACACTTTTTTAAAAAAAAAAAAGATGTTTGGCATTAAGGACACATCTTAGCTAGCTTTCATTGACATATGATGTTAACTGTTCAGTAGAGCCAAGGAATCCTGCACTCTGAGAAAACTGAGTAGAAAAAGCTGGGGAAAGGGCTGAGGAGAAATGCTGGATTGATTACTCCAAATGCTCTTGACGTAAGCAAGAACTGTCTCTGATGAAACTAAGAATATTGTCCTTTTTTCAAAAACAGTAACTCCAGCAAAAACCTTCAAACAAGGAAACAAAACTTATATTAAAGCAAATCTATTTCTTTCTACCATGCTCTGTGGAGAGGCATAACAAATAAATTAAGGTGTAAAGAATAAGCTTTCCTACCACATGCTAAGAGGCACCTGTCTGTTTTTACCGAATTTTGATGCTCTCCTCAGGTCCCTATTCTGGTTCTCTAGTCATACCAAGAAGAGGTCGATGAGTTAACTCATTTCAACTAGTTTAAGTACAACATCAAACCTCCCCCCAAATTACTTCTCATAAGTGTTCTGTTTATCATCTCCAAGGACACAGTTAAACAGGATGTAAAAAGTTTAGCTTTTAAAACTCCGATGAAAGAGTTTGTGAATAAACATCATATAGATTTGTCACTGATGATATGCGAAGAACAGTATGCACAGAAGGGTTTCCTCATTTACAAAATGAAGGCAATGATGCCTCGGTTATTACACGGTTTGTTACACGGTTTAAACTGAATGAAACAAAGGGCTCAGCACCATCCCTGGCACGTGCAATAAACAGTAGCTAGTACCTTTGTTATTGTTATTACAATTACACTATCTGGCATCATACCACAGTCATTACATATAAAATATTTTAGGTAGGTTTCTAGAATTGCTGGCATAGGAACCTTGGTAAGGTCAATAGCAAGAGCTACTTGCAAATCCGTCTCAGATATGGCATAGGACTGAACAAACATCCCAAGACAGACGGCCAAGGCCTGAGACACGAAAGCTCAATGGGAGGAGCATCCTCAGAACGAACTGCTCCGGGTACTTCTGAAAACTCAGCTACATCTTTTATAGAGACGATTCAGCAACGCCATTGTCTTCTAGTCCAACATCAAAGCACCTAATCCAGGAGTCTAAGGATTGCGTTCCTTCTGAGTTGTTGTAGCATCTTCATATGTCTAATATTAGGACTGAATAAATTATCTAGACTCAAATTATGACCTTCCAGATCACAATAATTTATCGGTAGTGAGGCTCTTGGCTCAGTATCCTTGTTGTTATATGATTAATTTCCTAACTTTTCCTTTACCAGAACAGTTTAATTAAAATTTCCATAGTCTCATGTGGTCCAATCAATTCTGCACGCAGAGTGAACACTTGTAAACAGAAAAGACTTCACATAAAGGCATACGTGCCTTGTTAATGTCACTTTTTTCTAAATTCATAGTTTTTATATTTTAGAACAGTTTTAGATTTGTACAAAAATCAAGCAGATAGAATAGAGTTCCCATGTATCCCCACCCCACATACAATTTCCCGTTATTTATTAACATCTTACATTAGAATAGTACATTTGTTATAGTTAACGAAATAATAGTGATGCATTATTATTAGCTAAAGTCCGTAGTTTATTCAGATTACCTAATGTCCATTTTTTTTTGTCTCATAGTCCCATCCAGGATACTATATTATATTTAATTTTCATGTCTTTTAGGTTCTTCTTGGCTGTGAGGGTTTCTCAGGTTTTCCTTGTTTTTGATGACTTTGAGAAGTACTAGTTAGGTAAATTATAAGATGCCCCTCTATTGAAAATGGTCTAACTTTTTTTCATGTTTAGTCTTCAATTATGTGTTTTTGGGAGGAAGACTACCAGTGGTAAAGTGCTCAAATGAGCCTGGGAAATGCTGAGTTACACAGGCATGTGTAATACTAGCTGAGAGCTTTGCATATGCTGGGACACACTGGAATCTCAGGGAAGGGCAGTGAAATGGAGACAATCCCAACCAATAGGCCACAGAACCCTTTATCTGATGCCATGTTTATCAACATTTCTAAAAGGATTTGAGAAATACTTAGCTTTTTACTTTAGCCCATGTTTAGCTCTGGGAGTTCTAGCCATAGACTCTCAAAGTAAATAAAATAATATGAGCACCCACAGTTCCCAGCTAAAACTGGCAGTTTTTCCCGCAGGGCTCTCTGGAAAAGATTTCTCAGTGACTAAAAATCCTCATCTTGAACCCCAAAAACCAATGCCTAAAGGCGGGGAGTGCTACCTGGCAATGGTAAAATGTTAAGGTAATTTGTTTTCAAGAAACCAGGCATTCAAAAAGCCAACTCCTCAGTGTTTAGTGCTTCAGAGTTTCGGATTCTTTCTTTTTAATCCATCAGTAGAAAATAATTTTGTAAGAAGAAAGGGGTGGTTTTCCATGCTGACTTCAATTAATATCAGAGGCACAAATGAAGTGAATTTATAACCTAAAATGAATCACCCGACTTCCTGATAAAGACTACTCAGATAATACTCCTTAAAATGTACGCAGTTAATCAGATATCACTTTCCCATTTGTTGGGCTTTTGAAATGTACACAGTCTAACCATCTATTAAGTGACCATCTTAGGAGACACTGTTGGCCACATTCACGTATAATCACAGCGTAATATTATTAAAATAGCACCCACACATGGTAAATTTCACTTAAATTCCTAATCAGGATTTTGGGGTCACAGCTGATCTCTACTCTTCAAAATGCTATTATGACTTAGTTAAAAGTGATCACAGCCTCTTTTAATTATTTCTTCCTGATGTATAAAATTATTTTTACCTGAATCTCTCTGAAGACTGTGAATGTATGATTAAAGAAAATAAGAAAGCTGATAAAGGCAAGTTGCTTCCAAATCTATAAGAGGAAACTGTGAGGTCCAAGGAACATTAGCATTCCATTCCTACTGTGTAATGAGAAAGACTCTCCTCGCTGCACATTGAAAAGATCGCAAATCCTGACGGTTGAATAGGCAGAGAGCCACCACACAACCTTCTGGTTTGATAGAGCAAGCTGAGAACCTACTTAAACTCTTCTCCGCCTTCCCCTCCAAAAAGCCTAGCTTAACACTGTGAGCAAGGAATTCCAGAGTTAAGTTTTTAAAAAACAGTACTAAGTCCAAGACATTGATTTGTAATTTATAATAGATTACACTGAAATCTTGTCTGTTAGGGCTAAGCACAAATGCAAATATAAATGAAGTTATAGTTACTTGTAATATGGACTTTTTAAAATAGAAATCCAAAAAGTTGAAATTTCTACTGATATCAGAATAAGATATTTGACTTATCATATCATGGCTATTATATGGCCCCAGTATTATTCCCAAAAGACAGACAGTTGGGAAAAATGGTTAAGAGAAGATCTTGTGCTACCAGAAATGTTAATTATGGACTTCAGTGATAAGCTTGAATCTCTGCTACTCTTGGTAATTAAACAATTTCCTCTTGGTATTTGAAAGTTCTCTAAGGGTAGATGTATTTCTTCCTTCATCAGAATTCAGCTTTTAAAATTCCAGTCCCCCCCACCCCCAATAAGCCTTCTCTCAATCCAATGCTCCTTGGTAAGAATATGCATGTTTTCACCCCAGCTGTTGAATCACTGATAAATGTCACACTTTAATTAATTTTACTGATGGATAATTATGAAAGATGTAGGATTCTTTAGTGCTCAACAATCTGACAAAACCTTTGATTTCAATGACATGAGCTAAACTATATCACTTGGCATGGATCAGATTTCTAAACTTTAATATTCAGCCTGTATCATCTTCTATCATCATAATAAAAGTGTTATAACTGGAATGAAAACAGTAGTTCCACAGATTAAATTCCAAGTTGAAATGGTATATGAATTAATTCCTTGTCTATGTAGCGTCTGTAAAACTTTACAGTTTTGCTTTTTAGGTAGATTTAATGTATACTTGTTTAATATTGCAAAGTAAAATTAGTACTTTTCCAATATTGATTAGAAGGTCTTAGTACCATGAATCAGGAGCCTTGCAAATATCCAAGTCACTTAGATAATTCTATTTAAGAAACACCAAAAAAGAGAAGAAAGCAAGCAAGTAAAAGAGTGAGAGGAACAACAACAACAAATAAGGAAAGAAAGAACAGAAAAAAGAAAATATCCAACTCAACAGAAAACATGGCTATCATGGAAAATTCAACTCATGGCTTGGGGCAGGGATATCCAACTTTCAGTTACTTACTAGAAAATGTTTTACCTAATATGATAATTAATCTGGGTCCCAGAGACTCATTTTGGAGCTTATGGGTAGGTCTGTCAGTCAGTACTGCTATTGCTTATCAGATTTCTAGAATATTGATTATATTAATAATTACATTTCTATTATATTGACATTCTCTTGTATTTAAATGCATCTGTCTTAAACATTTTCCAAACCTAAGGCTATAATGCTCTACGTTTTAAAACTCTAGGATTTTACTTGAGTACCTAGTTGCCCAGATACTTACATAAATTCATACTTTTTTGTGTATGAGAACAAATTGGGACTTGCCCACACAGGAAATCCCAAATCCTAACTCCAAATCTGCAAGACCACTCTTAAAAACATTGTCTTTTGTGATATGATTGTCCCTAGCATAGGATATATACAATATGTTAATTTGTATTGGAATTTAGAAATGAGACAATTTGCATTTTGCTGATTTCTAATATTTCTTAGACTATCTGGTAATACAGCTGTCCCCATATTTTTCCTTAATTGCC